ATTTACTATGGATTGAACTTCGTTTAAGGTCAAATTTAAATCAAAATTCGTGTGATTATTTTTGTTTTGTCATTGTGAATAAATGCTAACTCTTATTTTTTTTTTTATTATTTTTGAAATTTGTCCGAGTTCAATATGAGCTCATCCTATTTTGCATTTCGAGAGAGCCATAAAGGCTCAAATCCCTTTTCCGGGTCAGCTAGCTATGAAGGTCGACGAACAGGTCTCGAAGTCAAAAGAAGCAACAGATCGAGAAATTGAAAATTTGGGCCAAAGGCCCACTCTTTATTTCAGAGATTGTATTTTGTTATTTTGGGCCTAAGCCCCCTTGTCATTATTTATTATTATTGCATTAGTTCTTAGGACAGGCGAAAATTTGGGCCAAAGGCCCAAAGGAAATTATTCCTTTTAATTTTGGGCAGGTGGCAAGAATTGGGCCTTTGGCCCCAAAATGAAATGGGCCCGAGTATTGGTCCAGGCGGACAGAAAACCAAACTTGGGCTCGAGTCTCTTTCCCTCTTTTACTTTATTATGTTTGTGTGCTCGTTAATATTTGTTGTTAGTCTTAAGGTCGAAAATATTCAAATCCCCGAAAGACGTCCATTTTTGCTTTAATAGAAAATTAACTAAACTAGCCATCTCTTAACAAAATTTAAAGAAAATAATTTGCAAGATAGCTTACTTAAATAATATTTAAATATTTCCCTTTTTTCCCTTTAAAAATAGTTCTAACTATAAAATAGTTCAAATTTTGCAAATTCAGTTAAGTTAAATTATTTTAGCCAAATAGTTAATTATCGGATAACCGCATATTAGCGGGCATTTCGGGTGCTTTCAAACCCTTCCTGAAATGCTAATAAGAACCCCGGACCCCTTTTAAGTTTTCATTTAGATTTTTCTGTTTTTAGTCTTTTGAAAACAACAGTTTTCTTGATTTTTCTTAAAAAATTAAGTGGCGACTCTTAAACCGGTCAAATAATATTTTCCTAATAAAACAAGTGGTAAACAATGAAAGTAGTTGACGATATATAGTAATAACTCTTAAACCGGTCAAATAATATTTTCCTAATAAAACAGAATGGCAAACAATAAAGTAGTTGACGATATATAGTAATAACTGATTGTGGTGATTGTTGGTTATTGGTCTGGTAAATGATGGTGATACTTACAAATAATTGCTAATAGTGTTTGTAGTTGATTGTATTGATTGACGATTGTTGATTATGAATTGTGACAGTTGATAATAGTGGATGTAAATAATCCCGTTAGAGTGAATGAATGAAATAACACTAAATTGATATTCTTATAATTTTCTTTTTATCATACATCTCAATTATATTGAAACTTGATTATAAATTTTCATTCACACCTATTATGTGATGCGAAATAAAAAAATACACACAATAATTAAAATGAGAACCAATTTATTATTAATGCATAATTATAAATTTCTAATCTGGTGTGCTATTTTTAATGATCACGTGACAGATCATGAATTAGAATATTTATTTTTATTAAAAAATTGGCAGATCTCGAGAAGATAATATTTTTTAAAATTTACAAAAAGTGGCATATCTTGAAATGAGAGTATTAAAAAAAAAATAAAAAAAATACAGTGTGACAGTCTGACCAGATCTTGAAAAAATAATAAAAAGAAAAATACGTGGCAGATAATTGTAAAAAATCAAAGTGTTGTCCATGTGTAATCCATTTGAAAAAGAAGAAGAAGATAATAATTAAAAATTATAAAGTGCGTTCTTCTTTTTAAACTAATAAAAAAACCTTTATTTTATGTAGAATCTAACAAATATGGATTTCATGTTTACAAGAGTTTGTTGTTTAATTCAACAATTTCAAGTTATGTGTTGCTTTGCATATATCAGGTACCATGTGTGTTTATCTGTTTAATTTTATTATATAAATTTAAATATTTATTGTGTATATTCAAAATTAGAGTGCATAGATGTTAATTATTATTGCGATTCATCTAGAAGTGTGGTGACTTGAACTTTTTAAATAAGTACAAAAGTTAAATTATGTCTAAGCAGCTTAATAAATTCGATTTTTTTAGAAATCTAAAATACACTATGAGTTGTTGAAATTTGATCAAGTGAAGTTTATCGTACGAAAAGAATTTTGATGAATTATATTAATTTATTAAAATTAAATTTCCTTATATCTTTTAAATGTAAGAGTGGGTTCCCCATGTAAAAGTACGAGTTCGAAAAATTCCATAACTTTTCTATTAGAAAATTCTTCGAGAGCTTGTTTGATATAAGAGATAAAGAATAATTAATCTTGAGATTAATTTTACGATGAGTTTGTCTTATATTTAATTGAGATAAAAATTGCGAAATAACTTATTCCGAAATTACAATATTACTAATTCTATGATAATTATTCTCGAAATAATTTATTTCCCAAGACGGAGTCCTAGTTTAGAACGTTGGTTGCAAATATTACAACAAAAACAAGTGTTGGGTTAAGTGGTTTTAGAGGTGTTATATTTCTAATTGGCGAGGTTTCGAATCTCATTATATATACATAAATTTTTTGAAAAATTAGGGTTTAACATCTCGATCTTTTTCCGTCGCCGGCGCCGGCCAAACTAACTGGTCGGTATTCTTTCTCTCCTTTTTTGTTTCTTTCTTTCAATTTCTTATATGTTTGAACAGTTGTATTTGTGTAGCAATTTGTTCAAAATATGACTTTTGATCGCTGATTAAAAAGAAGAAGTGATTTTTAAGCTTTTTTTTTTGTCTTTGGTGTTTATTACTATCGGCTTTGTATTGTGTTCTTTTGCCTGTATTGTTTCTTTGCAATGCTGCTTTGAATTGTTCTCAATTGTGGAATTACATTGGTTTTGTTGTTGTTATTGTTGATTGTGGGTTAGAATTAGCCTTTTATATTCGTGTTGTAACTCAGAGGCGAATTTAGGATTCGGAGGCTAGGGGTGCCATATCATTTCAATGGTAAATGGGTCAGTTCCTTCATTTTAGGTTATGATTCGGATTATTTTGTTTTTTTTATTTTTATAAATACATTGATCAAATATACATATTTAGTAATTTTTTTTTTCTTTTAAATATTCTAATATTAGAGATATACACCTAAATAGTGTGTGTTTTGATGTTTTTTTTAGGAATAAGATATCTTATTCTCTATAACTTTGAGAAAACAAGAGATTTTTCACCTTAGAAATTCAAATTTGTATACATCATCTAATACCATATAGTTAAGAAAAAATAAAAATTATAGCTTTAATCTAGTTATCTCCACTTAGTGTGATGTTAAAGATTGAAAGAACCTTTAAATTCAAAAGCTTTAACATAATAATATCCATCATTTTAAAAACTTTTTCAAAAAAAATTAAAATTCTATTTAAATATTTTTTTTATTAATATTCTATGTGAGATAGATAAATAAGCAAGGAAAATAAAGGAACTAATTGAGGGGCGAGAAACTAAAGCAAAGACAAAAAAATTGGCGAGAAACTAAACTAAAGACAAAAAAAGAGAGGAGGAGCCTGAAAGTCATTCACACAAGCAAAGAATAAAAAAAATATTAGTGCTGTAAAGAGATTTGAACCTTGACGCTTACATTGAAAGTTACATCCTTTGCCAGTTGCACCATTGAACATATTATTCATGGGGTGGCAGATGTAATATATATTCATTTTGTTATACTTATACTGTTATACACATATATACACAAAGTTTTAACCGATGCCACTGGGGTGCCGTGGCACCCCTGCCCATAAGGCTATATCCGCCCCTGGTTGTACTGTTGTTGTGTATCCCAATAAGTAGTGTATATGTGTGACCCTACTTACTTTGTTTTTAGTTTCTCATGTCTATACCTCTTCCTAATTGATGATTTAATTCTATTTTTAAATTGATTAAAGAAAAAGTAGAAAGTGATCCTTCGGGGTGGCCTAGTGGTTTGGGTTTGGGACTTCCATGTTGGAGGTCTCAAGTTCGAAACCCCTTGCCAGCGAAAGTAAGTGGTTTTGCCTTTTGAGTCAAGCTCGTCACACTGGGATATCCTAGTGCGGGTTACCTCTCCTGCATGGTTTGCGAGGTGCAACAACATTTTTGAAGTGTCCGAATATTAGGTGATAAGTAAAGCATTACAAATCAGGTTTGAAAAGAAATAAACTTACAATATTACAAAGGGTAGGAAAGGGTAAAATATTATATGATAAAATAAAATTTTGAGTGACAATCAAAACATTGGAAAGTAACAATACAATAGGTAAAACCCATCCAAACAAGCTGTATAGAGAAATAAAGTGGCTTCTCAATAGATCAGAAAATATATGGAAAGGAATAAAAAGAAGTAGTTTATATATATGAATTACTACTTGGATTATATATATGAAAAGGAAAACCCCATGTGCTTCTAGTAGCTATATATGTTTACATCTATTCTCATTTTAACCACTTCTAATTGGATCATTATGGATTATGTAGTGGATGAAGTGCTGTCGTTGATCTCGTTCTTTTAAGTCGATTGATTGTTGACAGAATAACCATGTTTAGTATATTCACTAATGACACCAAAGTTTGTCAGGAATTTTGACTCTGATTCAAGTGAGCCAAACTTAGGACTGTCAAATCCCAACATCTAGAAGAATATTGAATAAATTTACAGTGTCTTCTATGTGGCCCACTTGTGGGACTAGGTTGAGTACGTTGTTATTGTTGTATACGTGGAATTATTTGCAAAAATGTATACTGCAGACGATTAATTAAAGTTAGAATTCTATGCAACTTTCAACATTTTTTTTACAAGATGGGATATTCTCTCAGGTTATTTCGAGCATGGTATATTGCGGTTATTGTGCAAAACACATCAGTCAACCCGATTATGCGGATGGCAAAATGTGAGAGCTTCATCTCCCAATCTTGTTCTTTCTTCTATATATATATTATAATACTCCTCTGGTCCATTTTAGTTTATATATTTTCTTCATTCGTATAAGAGGGCATCATTTGTATATATATATATATATATATCTGTGTGTGTGTTGCTCTAAGATGCTTTACATTATAGATGTTGTCCCGAGTTGTTGATGAAAGACAATTTTTTAAGCGACCCTACTTTTGTCAAGGATGCTGCTGGACAGGTTAGTTCGTTATTCATATTCATCTTAATACATATGAGATCGATATATTTTGGATAGTTTGTTTTTCTTCGAATTCAATCATATCTAGTTTTGAATGCCTTTCCAGTTTGGACGGTGTGTTTAATCAGTCTTAATGTCATTTTTATTAAAGGAGTTTTTAAGGTGCAAAGCAAGAAAATACACATGGTGGAAATAAGTTTTATACTTGATGGAGAGTTCTTTAATAATATTAGTGTGATGTGATCAGGGAGTAATAGCCTAGCAAAAGGCCAATCACCTCCAACCATGAGGTGGGGTTTGAGTTACCAAGAGAGCAAATTGGAAAAAACCACCACGTGGTCGGATGTTTTGTGGCGAGGTTTACATATCAATAAAAAAGGAAAAATATGTTTTAGACAGTTCGTGATACTTCAGTTGAGAGGCAAATGGACTGTCATCCCAAACATATATTTGTGGGTGGGGGAGATCAAATTGGAAGAGGGAATAGAAGCTATTTAGACAATACCATGAGAAGATGATCATCCATTTTGCCATCTTGCATGCTTTTTTTTGTACATGTTTTAGTGTGAAGAATGACTTTGCTTTTAATATTGATGTATTTTATTTTTTAATATTAATGTGCTTTTGTCAATAATTTTATTTTTTTCAAATATATGGAGATAAATAATACTAACTAAAATCAAACTGAGCAACATTCAACAGGACAAGCTTAGTTTTAAGGTGCAACAAGCTATATATGTGGTGTCTTGTAACTTGTTAAGTATGGTATTCAATTTGTGTTTTATCAAGACTAACTTAACTCATTTGCAGAGCCAATTGGCAGGAAAGATTGTGGGTTCTGTCCAAAGTGTCTATTCAACTTCACGAGAAAGAACACTATATACGTGAAGGTATCTTCGATTGTTGTTTTCTCACATTGACTTTTTTATCACTGATGTAGGATTCAGACCTCATCGGTAGCATATATAGCACCCCTTCCATAATGTAATAAGAGACGTTATGCTCCTTGTACCTATTTATATAAATCTATCCTTCTTTTTCCTTTGTATATAGGAAAAGGTTCTATCAGTCTTTTTTTCAGCTGAATGACGACTCGATGTATGTTTCTATTAGGGAAAACAAAAAAATTTGTTGACCGACTTTCAGTAGAAGTTGTTATGACTTTCTAGAGTACGTACAGTTGCATTTGCTTTGCTTCAAATTTGGTCCAAATCACTAACATCCTAAATGTACCGATGTATCTTTGTCTACTGGGAGCTTTTGAATTTAGTTTCCTGAAAAAAAGGTGCTTGTGCTGTTCATTGTCAATATAGGCATTCAAGTAGAACCACTCTATTTTGTGTCAAAGTCAATTAAGTGCTCATAAACCTTTTATATAATTATCGGTCATCTACAACATAACTTCCAGCTGCTTCCAGGAAATGTTCCTATTTTAAATTTATGTGAAGGATATATGAATGTTGTTTTCTCAATTTTCATTTCTTTTTGTGTTTATGGTTAAAAAATGAGCCCCCAATGATGATAGCATGATAGAATATGTAAATTGTTAGATTTTCCCACATTGGTTGAGAGAATGAGTTATTGTCTTATATGGTCTTGAACAATCTTCACTCATGAACTAGTTTTTAGGGTTGTGTTAGGCCCAAAGTCCATTTCGCCAAAATCATTCATCTTCTTGGTCTACCCAATGATGGGCTCCATGTTACTCTCTAGTGAATAGACATGGGCGCGCGAGAGGTTGTTAGATATTGAGAAAATGGAATATTGACTCCTTATATAGTTTTGGGCAATTCTCAGCTTTTGGAGTTTAGCAAAGTTGCAACTCCATTTTCTTAGCATAAATATAGTAACTGAGTTAAAAAAAAGCAGAAGTAAATTTTTTGTTCTTGTTGATTGCTGACCACTTTATCCTGACATGTCTTTCAAGGTGCACAAGCTATGTGCCAACGTGCACCAATTTGGTTTTAGAATATACGAAATCGCTCTTTGATATTAATATAATTTTAAAGTATGAGGGTCTTCTGATAACATTTATTTACTCCTCTTCCTGCAGCAAAAAAGGGTATAGAGAGTGTGATGAGTGCATTAGGAATTGATGGTGGTGATTCAATAGCTCATCCAGCTTTGGCCTTCTATAGGGTATGATTCTTTATGCATACTACTAGCATGATATCATTCTATGGCTGAATATATTACTTTCAGATATATAGCAGTTGAGAGGAATTTCACAAGGGGACGTAGGAAAGAGCAAGTTGAAGCTGCTTGTGTTTACATTGTTTGTAGGTGAGAGATTGTGTTTTATGGTTTTATTTTTCAGCATATTTCTGCTCTCTAAGGGCTCGTTTGGTTGGGAACAAGTTAATTTTCCTGGGATTAGTTATCCAAGGATTGTTATTCCACCCTCAATGCGGGATAAAAATAACACTACAATCCCGGGGTAAGTTATCCCAACCAAACATATAATGGGATAAACTCATCTTAAAATTAATCGTGGGATTAGTTATCCTTATCCCTTATCCCTCCTACCCAACCCTAAGAGAAAAAAAAGAAGTGGGATAACGTGTAATGACGCTTAAGATGTTGACTTAAATTATGTCAGCCATGCATCAGTGTTTAGAGAGCAAAACCACTTCTTTTTAAGAGACAGAAATTTAGAGAAAGAAGAGAAGGGACCAAAACTTTAGCTCTGAAAAATAAGAATAGAAGAAGAGAATACAGGAATGCTTGATTATTGCATCAAGCTGCGGGGTCTAAATAACGTTTACAAGAAATACAAATAAGGAAAATAAAGACAACAATTACGTTCTCACAAAATCTTTCAATTTCCATATTAAGGGGATTTGAGAATCTTACATAGTATAGGTTTTGCCATATTTAACAGGGGCTAAAATGATACATTATAAATTTTGCTAGCTTTTTGGTGCAACCTGGTTATTGTACAAGATGTTGATGCATGCAATTTTAAAATACAATGGGGGATCTGTAGTTATATTTTCTCGCACTAGTTTAGTGCAACCATTTATAAAATCTATGATTACTTATCAACAAAAATTGTGCTATATTATGCAGCACAGAGGGATACAAAGTTTGTCATTAATACATGCATCAAAAGAGTAATTAGGGCAATTATAGTTTTCATTCAATCTTTTTTCTCGGTCCAAGCTACTTTACTAGTGACAAATTTATGTTTACTTTTCTTGCAGGGAAAGCAAAAAGCCATTCCTACTCATTGAGTACTTGATGATAAATGTGTAAGTGAGCCTATTTCTACAAAAAATCTTAAAACTCATTCTCTTTCATTCTTCTTTTGATGTAACACTTTGGATCAATAATCTTGAGCAAAAACTAAATGATTGCCCTGCCCTTAAGGTCAGGAGTTCTTGTCACCCTGCTTAGTGTTGTGATATTCTATTTAACCCTTTGATCTTTCTTGTAGTTATATATATATCGTGAAACAGATCTTACATGTGAATCTTGTGTGGTTAGAGTAAATTAGACTAAGCTTGCTTCACGTTCTACTAGAAATGAAAGCAGCTAGCCTTATGTATTTGATGTTGGATTTGAGGAAGATAAAGGTGTTATAATATCTTCTTTTGTGTGGGAAGGAAATTTAGGACAGAAGAAGAGCTGACCTTTGAGAAAGTTACTAGGTAATATGTTTTAGGGTGCGTGCTGATGAATATAACATGTTACCAATTTCAAGTTACTAGGTAATATGCTTTACTACCCTTCCCACGACATACTCTTGACTAATCTTCAGTGTGATTGAATAGCATATCATTTTTAGTATATTTAGGCATTTGTATTTGAGAATTTTCTCCTTTGCTGCAATAACTCGATGAGTTCCTTTTTCCTATCAGAAAAATCTCTGTTGACTTCACAAATTATTAAATCTTTATTGGCAGATGAGGTTTGTCAATACGTTGTCTCCTTAAAAATCTAGAAAAATATTCTAATATAGGAGGTCTTATTGTATTTTTGCCAGGGTTATACCTGAAGTTGGGCAGTTTAGGAAACCATTTACCTAATCACTAGCTTTATCATGGTAATTGAAGCCTGTTCAACCTTCCTTTTTCTCTTATGAAACACAGGTATATTTTAGGTGCTTGCAAACTTCTAAGCATTGTAGATCATGCGCGTTATAGAAAACACACCATTGTTGATACGTGGGTGAGAAATGCACTTTATAGCAGTTGAGGTTCATCTCTTTGCCATGGGAAGCCCCGCTGTTCTTTCTGCAACTCATCATAGAAGCAGCCAGGAGGACGTCCTCTACTATGTTTGGTGGGAAATGGACTCTGTTTAGGCAGGCCACTGTCTGGCAAATTTTATTATAACCCATTTATATCTAAACTCCTTTGTAGACTAGAGCTGTTAGTGTTGTGGTTTGGGCAGATTTAGCGTCCTTATTCCAAATCGAAGACTTAGTGGCTTGTTGGAAGTTGGAAGACTCAAACCAAATTCATACTACTAAATATTAGAACCACTAAACTTAGGTTTGTTAAGTGTGTGGGTTTTCATAATTGATTTGGGGCGTGCAGAGAATTAATGACTTTTCATGTCAGAGTTAGTAAGAGTAATCTTAACTGTTAGTAGCGGGACCAGGATTATATACATATCTACAAAATGAATGTGGTCGGATTACAAATGTTATGAATAAATGTGTTGCAATACTAGATTGGACTAACTTTGAAATCACATTCAACAGAAGGTGCAAGCAACACATAGAGAAGAAGATCTATTGGTCAGTGTAGGAGATTCTAAGAACCTCTAATTTGGCTTAAAAGACAATTATTTAGTGTTAAAATGAATGTTGCCCAAATAGAATGGAATGAATGTAGATGATTCATCTAGCTGATGTAACTCATTAGGGATTGAGCAGCATGTGATTGATGAATGATATAATTTATCAGATATTACAAGGTGTGTGTAAGCTTTCGTAGATGGTATATAACACACTGCAATTGTGAAAGGGGAAGTTCAGAATAAAAAAAGATGTGTATACTACCATCCGATGTCAGAACATGACTATCTAATCACGCGTTCAGGAAGTATAGCAAAAAGCCATTTAATTGCATGCTTTAAACTGTTCAATACGAAAATTGTCATTACAAGCTGCAGTTCTCGGCAAACAAATGTGTGTCATTATACTTGGAGGATGGAAGAATGAACGCATTTAAAGAGCAGAATTTGTCAAAAAAAATCTCGGAGGTAGACAGTGGCTCCTAATGCAACTTGAAGAGAATGAACTAATATGATTTTTCAAGTAGTATGTAGGTGATAACGCTAGCTCTAGGGAAGGAAACAATGGTCTTTTATCAAAAACGTTATTGTTCCTCAATGAAATATTAAAATGTTATTTTTAAACATTTTAGATTGTGATATCTTGTTCCTCAATGAAATGTACTCCCCTCCATCCCTTCCCATAATCATAACCAATTCTATATGAATAGCGACAACGAATCATGTGATTAGATTGTTAAAAGAAGTAATGCATGCATACCTAAAATTAGGGTTTCCATGAGGCAAAAAGGTATTGGAAAATGTTTCAACACTATTTGGGAGGACCAAATCAACAGAGCTCACACTACCATAGAGTGGTATACTTGTAAGTTGCCCATCATAGATATGAAAGTGTTTCTCTCTATTCTATCAATTTGCATAATGGAAAATCAAATACCTCTTTTAAAGTATCAAACATGCCCTCTCTAATTTCATTTGGAACTTTGTCATATATTGCTTCAAAACAACCAAATTCTTGTAAGGCTTCAAAAACTTGAACTTTTGTTGATTCCCATTGTGGAGTGTTTGGTTTAAGCTCAGAATTGAAAAAATCTATGGTGGGAATCTTAACTTTTGTAGAAGCCATTTGAGGAATATTTAGGATATAATCAACAAACAATTCTTCACTTATTTATAAGAGAGAGGGAAAATGAGGGGCTTCCCATCACTTTCAAAAAGAGTATTACTATTCAATGGACATATTTATTATGGAAAAAATTCCTAAATACACAATTTTTTAGCATATTTTGCAAGAATCTCTATCATTTGAAAAAATTACAAAAATCTCTACTCGCTCCTATTCTCGGATATATCACTTTACACAATGTATCGGACCCGATACCCACCGCATAATATAAGAAATCGACTAGCAGGAAATCATGCAATAAGGCTGTTCATTCCTCCAACTTTATAATCTCCCGCCCTTACTAATTTCAGATACTTAAAAATACACTAATACACTTGACTTTCAACCCCTTAATCATTCCAGTCTTGATAATAGCTTAACCTTTCTAGTTACTAGAGAAGTTTCCGGATGTAACCACTACCAACCCAGCCAACCCCTCACGACATACTCCTTACTCCTTTCACATCTCCACTCAACCCTTGACCCCATGGTACGGTCTATTAAGTCTTGGTTAACCATCTCAATACTACTCCCCTTCCGGAGAAATACCCAACTATTAACATCATGACATATCACCACCCCAATTCTCAATGACTACACATATGACCACCTCTCTAAGACAAGACATAGTAACACCTGGACCTTTGGTCTCCACTTACCATGCCCCATCCTGATTTAGGCTTGACCATTCACAGTTCATTCATTAACAAGATATACCTAATTACCTTACGACACCGCAAACCCACGTATATATATAGAAAGCTCTAAAACACTTATCAACTCAAGAGTAACATACAATTCCACATTGTCATTAATAAATAGATACATAATTATCAATTCCAAGTGGTCCTCTCATGGAACCCATACCCAAACTGTTAGTGTGCCGGAACGTGAAACCCAATCCAATGCATATATATGTGTCAGTACATGACACCCAATCCAATGTATGTTAGTGTGTCGGTACATGACATCCGATCCAATTTATGTTAGTGTGTTGATACGTGACACCCGATCCAATGTATGTTAGTGTGTCGATACGTGACACCCGATCCAATGCATGTAAGCGTGTCGGTACGTGACACCCAATTCAATGTATGTAAGTGTGTCGTAAGTAACACCCGATCCAGTCAGCACAATCACAATCAAAATCACATCCACAACAAGCATACTTATAGACATACAATCAAATATTAGGTTCGTGGCATTCAATTGTACATATTCAATCTTTTCATTAGGTTTGATTGAAAGTGCTACATTCACATACATACATGCATTACGATGAAGCAAATACTCACATACGTCACACAAATATGAAATCAAACCATCACCTACCTTAGTTCACGGGATAGGGCTTCCTCCTACGGTATACGTCTGATGTAACACCTAGGAATATATGTATAATCATCTCTTTATCGGTGCACAAAGCCTACGCATGAATTCTACCGTCAATTACCAATATACTACGCAGTGAATCACGAATTTACAACTACTCAATTAATAAACCTAGCCTACCTGGGTGCCAAGCAATTATAAAGAGATTATAACTCCAATCTAGGCTTCCGAACGATGAGACACTAGATTTTGACCGGAAATTCGTAAGCTATCAACATCCTTACGCTAGAAATCTCCTTTTGAGGTTTTCTGGGGTGATTCTCGCCTCTTTTTGGTGTTTTTAGAAAAAAAAGAGAAAATAAGGTTTTGCGTTATTTAAGTTATGTTCTGTCATTCCCGCTCTGGCGCGCCTTATCCCGCTGGGGCGCCGCCGCCCTAGCGGTATCTGGCCCGCTCTGGCGGGATAGTGGCCCCATTTTTTTTTCCGACGTTTTTCCTTTCCTAAATAACGACAGTTTCGATTGTTACAATTAGATTATCTGTGTATGTTACTTCCCAAGTTGGCTATGCAGCTCCAAATGATGCTTTTAAGGTTTATTGTGGTCTTTGATATACTAAACGTGAATTTTTGATGAACCTTTTTGTCAGAGTACCGCTAGTATATATGGGATTTTTGACAGAATATTCATCGAAAATGTCTTCATCATTTCCACTGGATTTCATTTGGAATTCGTGTTTTTATAATAGTGTGTATCTTTAGCTTTAGAGTTGTTTGTGCTATATATGCTAGAATTAAAAAAAGGTGATTTTTTTATGAACGTTGTTGGTAGAATACCGTAAGTATATATGGGATTTCTAAAAGAATGTTTGTCGAAATTCGTGTTTCTTTAGTAGTGTGTATCTTATGTTTGAATTGTTGTAATAGTGAGTAATTTCGATGGGAATTCATGCCTTGTTTGTGGTTTTTGTGCAAATAAAGAATTTTAAAGAGATAAGTGTCAAAAACACACCTAAACTATCCATTTTTTTGAGTTTCATACTTAAACTATTGTGAGTCTGTGTTTCATACCTAAACATATACTAACTTTCTCTAAAAATAAATAAATAAATATATATATATAACGGTCATTAATTAATTGTCGGATCATTATTGGTATAATGTACTTGATGGTATATTAATTTTCTAAGGCTTTATTTCTTTGGTATTTTTTAACCATCCGATGTCGGATCTTAGGCAATTTCTAACCATCCGATGTCCAAAACACACTCGTTTAATTAGGTTCTAATTAATTTGAATTTAAGTCATACACGTTGACATACACTTGTCAATAGAGCCTAATTAGCCTATATGTGTCCGTTCTGACCTGACTCAATAAAATCTACTACTAACATTTTCACAGAAAATGAAATGATAGGAATAATAATACATATATACAGTGGCGGAGCCAGAATTTTCAATAAG